TACGTGCAATATTCGTTAAGATGTTCTGGAAATCTGACTCGTCTTCCAGAACGCGTTGTTTTAGGTTTTTCTATCGACGTTGACGAAGTATCAAGTTGTGTGTCGGTTGTCGTGTAGGGTACTACGAGTGTAGTAGCTGTGTCGTTTGCTTGTACCGAAGGAAAATCGACGTAGCTAGGGTTTCCTTCTAGGTACGCAGCTTTGAGTCGATCGATACTGATGCTATCGTTCGTACCGTTCTTATCCACTACATAGTACTTAGGTTCGCGTTGAAGAACTTTGAAGGATCCTTCGTATGCTGATTCGAGGGGTCGTCGATGTGAGTCTCGACGAACGAAGACGTGTGTACTATGTCGTAATTCGGGTTGAACGAAAACATCAGTTGATTGAGGTCGAGTGTGAGCAGGTTTAACTGAACGCATAGCGTTTGTAAGCCTACTCGTGTAAGAGTTTAGATCCATGTTCAATGAAGAAGCTGAAGGATCCACGAATTCTCCTGGGAGTCGGAGTGTCGTTCCGTAAACGAGTTGAGATGCCGTGTATCCAATGTCAGCTTTCACTGCATTGCGGATACCTAGCAAGACTAGTGGAAGAGCGTCTGTTCACTGTGAAACGTTTGAAGCTGATAATGAAGCTTTTAATTGTCGATTAAAACGTTCTACCAACCCGTTTGCTTGTGGGTGGTAGGCGGTCGTTCGGAAGCGCGTGATTCCTAAAAGTGTGGTCAGACAACGGAAAAGTCCAGATTCGAACTGGCGTCCGCGGTCTGTAGTGATTGTGGAAGGGCAGCCGAAATTTGCTACCCATCGTTCGACGAAAGCGCGGGCCACGGTTTCAGCAGTAATGTCCTTAATCGGTACTGCTTCTGGCCATCGAGTAAAACGGTCTACGCATGTTAGGAGATATGAGTATCCGTTCGAGTCGGGTAAGGGTCCTACCAAATCTAAATGGACGTGGTCGAAACGAGCGTCAGGGGTTTTGAAAGAACATAAGGGACATTTGTTGTGTCTGATTACCTTAGATTTCTGACAGCTTACACAGGAGCATGCCCACTCCCTCACGCCTTTTTTAATACCAGGCCAACAAAAGCGTTCGGCTATAAGTTCGATTGTTGCACGAGCACCTGGATGAGAAAGATTGTGCAACGTATTGAAGACGTTGCGGCGATAATGTTTTGGTACAATTGGACGATCCCTACCTGTAGATGTGTCACAGAGTAAGGTTTCCTTACCTATTCCCATCTGCCTAATACTTAGTCTAAGAGTTGTCGAGGATAACTCATGCTGAAGATCAATGTCTTCTTTTTGAAGCTGAGCGAGTTTAAGAAGGTCGATTCCTTGGAAACTGTTCAAGGAACTTATTCGAGACAAGGCGTCTGCGACTACATTGTTAGCTCCAGAAATATGTTGTATGTCTGAAGTAAACTGCGAAATGTAGTCGAGTTGTCGAGACTCTCGCGGTGAGTACTTGTCTGAAGATGAATTTAAAGAGAACGTAAGAGGTTTGTGATCGGCAAAAAGCGTGAATTCTCTTCCTTCGATGGAATGTTGAAAATGCCGTACAGCACAATACATAGCTAGGAGTTCCCTACCGAACGTGCTGTACCTAGATTCCGCGTCTAGCAACCATCTCGAGAAAAATCCTAAAGGTTGCCATGAGTTGTTAACCTATTGTTGTAAGACTCCTCCGATTGCTGAGTCGGATGCGTCTACGGCAATACTAATGGGCGCTTGATTGTCCTGATGAGCAAGCAGGGTTGCTTTAGCGATGTGTTCCTTAACTGTGGAAAATGCTTTACGGGTTATGTCGTCTAAACTAATTGATTTCGCATTTCCACGAAGCTGATCGGTTAACGGTTTCATTAGGGATGCGCATTTAGGTATGAACCGTCTATAGAAACTTACGAGTCCGTTGAAAGTTCGTAACTGCTTGATCGTGGTCGGTTCTGGGTAATCCAGAATGGCCGCCACTTTGCTCCTAAGGGGTCGGATGCCTTGGGCATCAATGGTGTGTCCTAGGAAGTCTAAGGAGTTTGTTCCGATTTGGCATTTCTGTATGTTGACAGTAATGCCATGCCTTTGGAGTCGATCGAAAACAATGTCCAGATGCTTGAGATGCGATTCTCTGTCCGGACTTGCTATTAGACAGTCATCAACATACGCATGTACGAAGTTGAGACCTCGGAAGACGTCGTCTATAAACCTTTGGAAGGTTTGAGCCGCGTTTCTTAAACCAAAGGGCATTCGTAGAAATTCGTAAAGACCGAAGGGAGTGATGATGGCGGTTTTAGGAATGTCGTCAGTTGTCATCGGGATTTGGTTATAAGCTTTAACCAAGTCGATTTTCGAAAAGACAGTTGTACCTTTCAAGGTAGCTGTCAAATCGTGAATATGAGGCAGCGGGTAACGATCGGGAATGGTTTTAGCATTCAGACGCCGATAATCACCAGTTGGCCGCCAATCATTGCTGTCCTTTTTAGGGACCATGTGCAATGGGGATGCCCATGGACTATTCGATGGTCGAATTATCCCTAGGTCCATCATGTGGTCGAATTCGTTTTCAGCTAACCTAAGCTTCTCGGGAGCGAGTCTTCGAGCTTTCGAAAATACAGGTGGTCCTGTAGTCGAGATGTGATGTGTAACATTGCTGGTTACACAAGGCAATTTCGATTGCGATTGGTATATTCCGGGGTATTTGTCGAATACTGATTGGTACAAGGGGTCTATGGTGTGCTTAATCGTGACTGGGGATAACCTGCAACCAGAACAAGGAGATACGCTAACAGATAACTTAGTGTTTCCGTCTATTAACTTTCGTGAGCGTGTGTCGATGAGTAGATTGTGGTGTTGTAACAGGTCTATACCAATGATTGGCATAGAGACATCTGCAACCACGAAAATCCAGTGTATGGGTTTGCGTAAACCCACGTTAAGGTAGACGTACCTTTTACTGTAAGTAGCGATCGGCTTTCCGTTTGCCGCCTGTAAACTTAAAACAGACTCGCGAAGTCTGTCGTCGGGATTTGCTGGAAGAACGCTAACTTCTGCGCCAGTGTCGACGAGGTAGCGAACTTTCGTAGTCACATCCGTGACGTATAACAGACGGCTGTGTTCGCCGGCAACGGTTGCCGTTAACGCGTGCCGGCTGGGAAGTTTCCCGAAATCTTATTCGTGTCAGTCGATTTTGAAGTCGGATAATTGCAAGGTTTCCTGCAATTTCTGGAAAACTTACCGTACTGGTTATGATGCCAGCACCAGTCGGGATTGTCTGTCTCTCGTGGTCGGGAGCCAGATCGCTTACGTGAGGCGCTTCTACGCGGGGTTTTTGACCGACTACGGTCATTGCGAACTCTAAGATATCGTGTAAGCGTGCGACATTGTTCGGCCATGTCCGTCGAGGTCGATTGGGGTTTTTCCTTGACGGAAAAAACCTCAGCCTTAGAAGATCTAGTGATTCCCAAGATTCGATCGGCAGATGCAGCTAGTTCATCTATGACATTGTTTTGAAATGAAACAAGCACTGTCTGCACCTGTTGAGGGAGTTTAGACAAGAAAAGTTGTCTAAATAGACCATCATCGAAAGTTCGTTGGCCGATGACTTCTCTCATTCTAAGCAACATGTCCGTCGCAGAACCATGTTGCAAGCCGATATTGTTAAGGAGTTGGTCTAACCGTTGTCGATCAGTTAGGTCTCCTCGTTTTAAAATCGATAGCTTAAGCGTTTCGTAAGGTTCGGGAACATCACTAGTAAACATACTAGGTGTTACGTACCTGTTAAACTCGTGCGGTAACGCTTTAACTACCGCGAGGAAACGTGTGCACGAGTCCGTGATTCCGTGCATGCTAAAATCGGCTTCTGCGTAGCAGAACCAGGACTCAATATTGTCGGGCCAAAATGGCGTTAACTGAATCGAAATAGGGGGAATAAACTTAAACTTAAGAACCTTAGGAGAGTGTTCCGTCATAGTAATGTAGATAATGAAAAATGTCTGAGTAAAATATATACGAGAAAAAAAAATTCGCGAAAAAAAGTATATCACAATATATAAAATTCAAATAAAGGATATCAATGAATAATAATATTCCAAAATGGAACAGACTCACAGTATATTGACTTGGTGTACCAGATCACGTCGGGTTCACCAATGATGATGCGACGGATATTCTAGTTTTACAACTAGATACCAATAGCACCTTCTAAATTCGATTGTTCCCAGTCAGATAAAAATCAGAAGTCAGACGAGAAGAGGCAGGAAAGATATATTTGATTCGTTACCAATATATCGAGGACCTTTTCTATGAGCTGGCTAATGAAACGTAGGAGCTGTGTCCCACGCCGAGTCGAAACGTGATCTGGTGCGGATGCATGACCGAAAGCCTTCAGCTAAACAAGTCCACTTAAACACGTGGTCAGCATCCAATGTCGAACACTTAATGAACTATTGATTTTGGGGAATTATTTGCAGCTACAATTCCTAACTCCATCATGTGGTCGACTTCGTGCGTAGACTATAACTTATGGATCTGGTGCGGATGCATGACCGAGCGCCTTCAGCTAGGTGAGTTCATTAAATCTAACATGGTCAGCATCTAATATGGAAAACTTACAGAGCCATGTATTTTGAGGATTTATTTACCGCTACACCATGTTGTTGTCAATATCACGGGCCTATTGACACTGATATTCGATATGTCACTTGACCAAGGTGTGTTACCTATGGACTGGAAGGACGCAATCGTCACTTCCATACATAAAACGGGACCAAGACAACTTCCATCGAACTAAATACCTGTAAGCCTCACCAGCGTTGTAGTTAAAATGTTGGAAAAGATAGTCAAACAGATCATAATGACATTCATGGAAACCAGTAACCTGTTAAACAGAGAATGATCTGTGATATGGTTAGATTTAGATTTGATCTGAAAGGGAAAAAGTTATTCTCTATCAGCGTCTCTTTAAACTGCGTAAATAACTGACCTTGCGATTATTGGAAATGCAATATCGACCGAAGGTCATTGTAAAAACTGCTCACGATAACGTTCGTGCTGGTGGGCCTGCAGGTTATGTTATGAGACTCTGTTCCGGAAATATCTTGTATTTGTGTGGCTAATCTTCTATAAGTATAAAATATTCTATTTGTAACTATCAGATACTTATTTCTCTCCACCATCCGTTGGATGGGCTAATGTTCGATGAGGCTGCTGTGCACGTTATTGGAGGAGGGTGAGTCTGAATAAATACACCATCTTTCTGATGGGTCTGTATGAATTAAGTTAATGACATGTTTTTTGCAAATGCCATGGTAAATGCTATGCTTCATTATAATTTCTTTTAGCATCGGAGGAACAGTTGGAGCAGTTTTAACGTGTCCGCTAGAAGTTGTCAAAGTTCGCTTACAATCTTCAAAAGGAATTGTACTTTCCTCATCTTCACTTAAACATAACTCCGTCGCAGATTATAACCACAGTCATCGTTTATCGCCTATACGATGCATGTTATATGGTTTAAAACAAGCTGATCCTAAACATGTTCAAAAATCCAGTCCCAATCACAAGTCGGTGATTTCTTCGTGTATTAATTCGTCAAACCCCTCAGGCCTCAACATTTCCTCAACATCTACCGATTTCCCAAAAGCCAAGCCTCATGGACTTCGGCGATCTCTTATTCTTCGTTCGTTAATTGACATTTTTCGTTATGAAGGACCCAAAGCTCTCTTTAAAGGTCTCGTCCCTACTCTTGTTGGAGTGATGCCAACACGGTAAGTGTTTCGTTTCAGTGATATCTAAATGGTTATCAGTTTAAAGCAACTAGTCCCTTCTATGAATCTCTTCTCATTGACTTAATGGTTGACTTCAATTTTGGGAATTTATTCATAATCAGTAAAAGTCCCCTTTTGATTATTCCTCAGTACATCTACTGGTTGATAAACTCATCTACTACTACGAAAACCTCAGTTATTGATAAGTACAAGTATCTATGGATGAAAGACACATAACATACTATTGATAAGGTAATATTGGTATATCTTAAAAATACTTATGTTGGGCTGAATGGATTTACTTCAGAGACTTGTTTAGCGTAATGTCTTTCACAGCAAAACTAACCAAAAGATACGAAAATGTGAATACAAGCTATTTATAGTTTGAAGTCATGTATTCTTTGTGAATTATTTTAGTTATCTTGGGTAGTAGTTAAAAGCTGTTGATGTAAATGTCATGTTCCCTTGATAATATAATTCAAAAAGATGATCTATTCGTACGAAATGCTAAGCTGTATACTCGGGTCTGGTTTTACATTATTCAGTCTCACTAAAATTGTTTATGTAAACATGTAGTTTTTATCGTGTTGATTATTTGTTGCACATAATATGAATTAAACTTTGTCAACGTCAATAAGGTATACATCTACACTATTTCAGGATTCGGTGGAGTTTGAACGTTGTACGAATATGAACCTTTTTATCAGAATTCGTATTTCTTGTATCCTAGTGCCTATTGGCAGTGGATATGACAATATGTATAGTTTAATTCGGATCCCACTAGGTGCTCCCTCTCAACCCTAATCTTTACAGGTAACCCACTAAGAATACCGGCTGTTGAAGACGTTGGTATTCTGTTCAGCAGTTTTTAGTTACCACCTTAGGTTGTCAAATGTCAGGGTCAACTCAGTCTTTGATGACAGGTTCAAGCCTCAAACAAAAGAATGTATCTACTCTTAGTAATAATAATAATAATAATAATAGTAATCGCTCCTAGTATATTACAGTCGACCAACGTTAAGGTAACAGAACAATAAGAACTTACATTGTACTCCAAATGATTAACGGTTTTTATTTATTCTTCCGACAATTTGTAACAAGAATTAAAGTATGACTACAGTCTTCATAATTTTCAAATGACTGACGCAATTAATGTTTTATTTTTTGAAATAGAGGTATATACTTTTGTGCATATCATAATGGACAGTTGTTCTTTGAAAAATATTTCCAGCCTGGTTCTTCATTTGTTTATTTATGTGCTGCTGGAATTGGAAGTAAGTGTTTTTGATATCGTTTCTTTATATTTATTAAATCGCAAAAATGTGCGAAATATCTTGGTTTCAACAACCTGTTAGAACTTGTCAAAAATATTTTCTTATGGAGCAGCAGATAAATAGTTGATAAAATCAGGTTTCAAGCAAGTATGTCTCAGGTTTGAGTTCCACTCTCACTTATTTCGGTTTTGGTAGACAGGTTACATCGCTAATCATCACTCAATTAGTGTAACTCAAAACTACGTACATTAACCCGTATTAAGTAATCTACATCATATATATATATATATATATATATATATATATATATATATACAAATGACCAGTTTGGTTGAGTCGTATTTGAAATCAATCTAATAGCCAGGACCTCGTTTACGAACTAGGACTGATTTATTATCTATACTCGAAAAGTTCATCTCGTGGTGTTGAAATAAAGGTTAAAAATAAAAATGTAAGTTACTTTACTTGGAGTCCCTTTAAGTTTACTGTGTCTCCCAAGCCTGGGTAAAGAAGGATGATTGGGCATGAAATTAACAACCCCATCCCGTAGAAAAGAACGTTGCTAAAAATACTATATTCTGGAAGAAGTGAGGACTTCCACGTACACGGACAACATCATTGATAAACATGGAGGATCTGACTGAGATGTGAAGGCACGAATCGGCAAAGGGCAGTATTCTTACAGTCGAAGAACACCTGGAACTCAAAACAACCCACGCAACACTTAAGTCAGATTTTTAAGCACAAACGTCAAGACAGTTGCGTTGTAGGGGGTCGAAATTTTGAGAGCTACCACAGTCATCCTAAAACTGTACAGGGGTTTATAAATAATTATCTACACAAAATACTCCAAACCTGTTGACCAGACACCAGCAACATCTTACTGTGGGAGAGAACAAACCATCTTCCAGTTGAATAGGAAATCAGGAAAAGATGCTAGAGAACACTTAGAACACTTAACTTGTGCTAACGATGTCGTTCAGAAGGACAATGAAAGCTCCACGACCAAACCATCCAGCTCAGAGAACAAAAATCCACCAAATGTTAGGGACTGATAGTACACACATTGCGGAAATCACCAAACTACGTCATGATGCAAACTCTAACTTTGAATCTTGGAGACTAAGGGAAAAAAAGGAGACCAATGAACTTATTGCTCCCGGAATCGGGGTTAGGGATCAAAAGAGTGAATAGCACTTAGAAATGACTGGAAAGGAGAGCTCAGGACAGAGTAGGTTGGAGGTTGCCGGTCGGTGGCCTGTGTTCCACAAGGGATAACAAGTGTAAATAAGTAAGTTGCTTTTACGGATAGTAATCACATTGTAAATGAACTTAGTATCCCTTAACTAAGTTAAGCGTTAATTACATTGACCTACTGATCTTACTGATGTCGCATAGTTTGGAAGATTTAAATGAATTCCACTCTGTGAAATACAAAGTCCTCCCTACCATGTAATTTAGTTTTAAATTATGAAGTGTTTTTGGAAGCCAGAGAAGTCCTACTCACTGCCTTCTCGTGGCGGGGGTGTTGTTTGCGAAATTGAGAGGACGAAAAGTGAATGTCCGGCGCTTTACTCGGGTTGGTGGACACGGAATGTTCACCTAGGGGAGTTGGAAAACCCTGATTCCAAACCAATGGTGCACATGGGCTCCACTATGCTGAAGGAACAAATGGCGTATGAACCAATAGTTGGTCACCGGCTACCATGGGACTGCATCTCCTTACGATGATCCACTTCTTTGTGGACTAGACCTTCAAGTCAAGGGCTCGGGGTGTGGCCCCTAGGAAAACCACCTGTTTCAGCCTGGGCACCTGGGCAGTATCACAGCCCTCACACAAATCAAATGAAATTTGTGAGGCGCATATTTATCTGGTGCTTCCTTGTACCAATATTTATGTGTTTAAATAGATGTTTTTGGAAGCAGAAAAGACTGGTTAAAATTAATGTCTCAGATGTGCTTAAATATATTATTTGACATTGCTTAAAGTTGAACGCGATAATACATGTGCATTCATCGCTTTCTCTGAAGAGATTTTGAACTTGTACTATTCACTATTCATTTTCTCGTTTTAATACATTACCATATCTCCACACATTGTTGAGAGTTGTTTTCGTTTATTACTCCAGTGATTTGTTTACGATGTTTGATGGAAATATCCTATCTGTATTCAACTACCGGTTGAATTTCAAAAATCCTTTTCTTGTTTACATATTTTCATTTCTACTTCCTTTTATCCAGTGTTCGTTATTGTTATTTGTGATACTGTTTTTTACGGTCTAGTGTAGCATTAGTATTCTTTAGATTGGATAACCAATTAATACATTCTCTACTGGTATTACTTTTACAGGCATAACCGCTTCTTCCTTAACCAATCCTATTTGGTTTATAAAAACAAGGCTTCAATTAGATTCACGGCAAGTTGAAATTGTATATCTATTGTTGAGGATTGTTTACAGTAGCAAACACCCCACTCATTTTCTTGTTGTTTTAAGAAACATGAGTAAATGCAATCATTATTCATCGTAAATACGGACCAGCCATTCATTATGTTTATTCATTTCAAAGGCGATAGGATGCTCAAATTTTCCCATTCTTTTACAATTTGTTGTGAACCATTTATATTATCTTTACCACGTACACTTTACATTAAGGCATGTTAATATGGATTTTTAGTGACCTGCAAGTATCTGACTCTAGGTAGATCGTATGAATGATTGTTGTCAAAATATACATCCTGGCTATCCTTGTATATAATTATCGATTTTAATCGCTTTAGTGAATAACGAAATTAAATACGAGAATGGATTTTTGAATATATATACTTCATACAATCATTGATCCAGACAAACGAGCGGAGAAACGAAGCGAAGAAAGTGAAGTGAATAGAGTGAAGCAAAATGATGCGCGGTGGAAAAGGCAAATGAGCCAACTCAATTTAACTAAACGTTAATCGATATTTATAGTCACACAAAAATAAGCTACAAACATGTGATGTATAGGATAAGTGTACACACATACGCTCATATGAAAACAGTCAAGGTTGATAAGCGAATATTTAACAACGTCAAAATGTGACTGAAGTAGAATGAGTAAATCGGCTTGTCCGGAAGCTATATGGGCTTAACATTATCAACCGACACTACAGTTTCTTTCGTCTAAATTTATTACATTTGCTTAGTGAGTTCACTTCTAATGGTGCCATTGACCTCCAAAAGTAATCTGTATGTCGTGGATGAAAATCAGCTGAAAAATCCCTCAAAACTAAGGTTCACTGCTCGGTTATTTAGTCCCAGTTCGGAACTGTTCAAGAGTATGCTTAGTAGTATAGTGCTGAACATAGGGTCTAGAAATTCTGAATTCAACCTTGTATAAAATCCATGCTTCATACTACTGAGTAGTGCTAAAATATAATTAATTACTTTTTAGTTTTCCATGACTTATCATCTCGATATCAATTTTTGACCAAATACAATTTCCAAGTTAAATAGCGCTCCCGAACGCCCTGGCACAACCGGGAGTGGGGAGAGTCAGCTTTCCCTCTCAAAGTGCTCTCACATGGCCACGTGCATACAACCACTGTCAGGAAAATCCTACTCACCGCTTTCCCGCGACGGGGGTGTTGTTTACAAAATTGAGAGGATGAAAAGCTAACGTTTGGCTTCTTAACTTGGTTGGTGGGTATGGAGGATCCACGTAGGGGAGTTGAAAAACCCTGATTCCAAACCAATGGTGCATATAGGCTCTAGATCCTGAGGGAACAAACGGCGTATGGACTAATTGTTGGTCACCGACTACTATGGGACTGCATCTTTTCACGATGCTCCACTGCCTTGTAAATCAGACCTTTAGGTTAAAGGCTCTGGATATGGCCTTTTAAGAAAATCATCTGCTTCGGTCTGGGCACCGGGGCAGTATCACAGCCCACATACAAATCAAGTGAATTGTGTTGCTCATATGTATTTGGTGCCCCTTTGTACCAATATTTATGTGTTCAAATAAATAAATAAATAAAGTTGAATAGCTGAATCTATGGATTCGATACAAGTTTTTACCTAATTTCATTACCAACCCCCTATAGAGACTTTATTTAAAAACAATTAATGAAAGTCATCAAAAGCATAATGGGTTAGATCTCAACAGGTATATGTAAGTATTAAGTACAGTTCGTTTGGAGGCAGTAGGTTTTCGTGATTGCGTTTAATTTTTCTAAATTAAGAGCTTAGGTGAAATAGGTTTTCATGTAGAATCGTCACTGGATGTTTTTGCTTTGCAATTCATTCCCATAGTCACAGGTTTAAACGTTTTGCTAATTGTAATGTGTAGACACTTTTTCTTTGTTAAAAGTGATTATATTGTAACCCTTTTCTTGGTGTCTTTCTAACAGTGCATGCGCTTAGATATATCATCAGTCACATTTACATCAACAACTGAAAATGCCTCCAAGTTTTTGGTAGAGGTCCTCCAGTGCTTGTTCATTTTGCCTTTATTATCTTTATTTTTACAACCTTTTCATTTCATTTTATTTTAATATCAGAAGGGGTTTTTGTGGATATTATAGTGATTTTAATAGTTGAGATCGTGTGTCAATTGAAGCTAGACCACCATAGAAAACCTGGAAGCACTAGACGGCCGTTTCGTCCTATCGTGGGACTCCTCAGCAATGCGCAACCATGATCCTGCCTCGCGAGATTCGAACCCAGGACCTATCAGTCTCGCTCGCAAGCGCTTAACCTCTAGACAACTGGGCCGGCAGTCAGTCAGCTACAACGTAGGACCAGGCACACATATGCATCGGTCCAAGTTGCCATACCTCGTTAGCACAACAAGATCAACACCGAATTCATAAAAGTAGTTAATTTAGTGGTGGTAATATATAAACGAAAGGTTGTAAATAAGGATATAGTACAGGAAGGAAGACAGATATGAAGCGATTTTAATCTCAAGGTTTAAGGGAAGATAAAGAGTGTATACACCTACGCCATTGTGATCGATTCTGAGCCATGTCACCTAGAGTCTCCAACCATTGGTTACGATAGTGGTGCCGACGCCAACAAAGTAGTCTGCATCAACCCACATTGTATAGGTCAGAAGTTAGTGACTTTGTGGATTGATTCCACGTTTTGGTTTGGCCGCCACTAACTTTCTTCCAGTTGTCTCCAATACTAGGTAGGATTGCTAATTAGTTTCTTATTTCATTATGAATTTATGTGCAGCAATATTTGATGATTTTAATTTTTGTAATCTATATTTATAAAGGTTTTGAATAATAGAAAAATATAAAACTTCTTATACACCATGTTTCTTATGGTTTATAGGCCAGGTCATACACCTATTACGGTTTCACAAGTTATACGTAACACTTGGAAACAAGATGGATTACGTGGCTTCTACCGAGGTGTAAGTGCATCGTATTTTGGTTCTCTAGAAACAGCTTTAAATTTCGTTGTATATGAAAATTTTAAATCAGAACTACTTTGGAGAGAGCATAAACGTAAACGTCAATTAACACTTAATAATTCTGTTCCAATATCGGAACAATCTGTTTACAGTAGTGATAATGATTATCTGCCCCAAAAAGCATCGGATTTTCGTGGTTCAAGTGGTGGAAGTAAATTGTCTGCTTCAAAAGATATGATCTTGTGTATGATTGCTAGTGCTTGCTCTAAAGCAATCGCTATTACTGCTCTATATCCTCATGGTAAGTACGTAAGTAGTAATTGTAGTATCATGAATATTAGTAATTTTTATTTGTGTACTTAACTTTCCATTGATTAATTAATTGACTTGCTCATCAGGTACTTTGTTACGAGCCACACTTAAATGTGAGTGCTAATGTTGACAGGACATAGATTAAATTAAAGCATATTTTATGAAGAATCCTGTTAGAGCACTCTGATTGGTCCATTTTTAGTCAATCAACTTTGGTGCATAGAGAGGACTCTAGAATTTTCTATGTAGGGACTATAAATATACCGTTTTTTATCACTGTAACTTCGAATCGGTTAACTAGAAGTTTGTTTTGATGCTTGTCAGTCAGTCAGTCAGCTACAACGTAGGACCAGGCACATATATGCACCGGTCCAAGTTGCCATACCTCGTTAGCACAACAAGATGAACACCGGATTCATAGAAGTAATTAATTTAGTGGTGGTAGTAGTATATAAATTATAGGTTGTAAATAAGGATATAGTACAGGAAGGAAGAGAGATATGAAGCAATTTTAGTCTCAAGGTTTAAAGTAAGATAAAGATTTGATGCTTGAGTACACCCCTGTTTCGACCGTTTATTTTGATTTGGGGACTAGTCGAGTGAAATAATGTCCGAAGAATGCTAGGCAATAAAAGGATCGGATAAGAAAGACAGTGAATGATATCTCAGTATCTGATCCAAATTGGGTGTTATTATATCCAAACGAAGACTAAAGAAACGATAACTTCCAGGACTAATATATATGTATGAGCTTTCGACTAACTACTGTTGTATTATTAACTATTCTTAGTCTGTTGACGGTTTATTATTCATAGTCTCCTCTACTCTCAACCACTTTTTGGCTTGATCATATATAATTGTTATTTTTTGTTTTACAGTGTAGTATGGTCTGCTCTGTTTGTATATCAACTACGTTTGTCTAAAATACATTATTAGTGGAGGCTGATCACTAATTTCTGGACTCAAGGGTAGGACGTAGAGGAGGTTAGGGGATCGCGACCCAATTTGAATTCAGATGTCAAAACAAAGTTTTTAAATGTTGAATGAATTCCGGAGTGGAGTTCAAATCTAAAAGTCACACGAGTGCCTTAACAACTAAGCCCTCGCTCCACCATAACGATTAATAGATACAGGTTCAAAATCAGATAAATGAATTCGATTCGACTGAAGTAACTGAGTGAACCAGTGGACATTTAAATTGTATTGATTATTATTAACATAAATAAAAAACTGACTTAAAGCTGACTGACTCCTTGAGGTATTTCCTGGAGTTCTAGTGAGAAGCAGTAACCGGTGGAGTTCAACCAGGTCTGTTGTGAGATAGGAACTCACTGATGACATTGGTGAATGGTTGCTCAATTTCGTGAATCAGTTGAAATTAAACATTAACACCGTTGGATGCCAGCTCAGTGGTCTATCGTTTAAGGGCTTCGGCTCGAAACTGGTAGGTCCTGGGTTCGAATCCCGCGAGAGTGGGTTCGTGGATGCGCACTGCTGAGGAGTCCCATAATAGGACGAAACGGCCGTCCAGTGCTTCCAGGTTTTCCATGGTGGTCTAGCTTCAATTGACTCATGATCTCAACTCTATAAATTACTAAAATCTTCACAAAACCCCTTCTGATAATAAATAAAAAACCTTGAAGTACATTAACGTACATTTGTCGACTTAATTATACTAGTTCCTAATTTCATATTCTATCAGATTGTGTTATGGCTTTTTTATGTCCAAGTAATTATAAATGACTTTCATCGTTGGTTAGTTTAAACAAGAACTTAAATTTAAAACAATAATTTAAACAAATATTGAGTCTCTTTCGTCAAATAACTTAATTTCAATAATGTTTTACGTCGAAATTCATTTTACGTCTTTTTTTGCCATTTTGATTATCAGTAATACAGAAATGACCTTAGGAAAAATATCAATACACATTGTTTTATAGAAGTTCACTAATGATCAATAAAAGTAAATCAATGCTTGTGTACACTTGGTTTCTAGGTATTACTTAGATTATAAGGACTGAAGATTGCTACCCGAATGGTGATAGACAAGGAGGTGAAATTGTCTTAAGCATAAATTTACAAAGTCATTTAGTGTATTTCCTGTTCATATCACATGATTAACCTGGGTGTGTATTAATGGTCTAGGTCAGTAAACATTGTTGTAAAAACCATCATTGGCTCAATCAATAGCTTGACAGTGACAAATATAGAAACTTCCACAATCTAGTCCATGTTTGTAAATTTTGAGACATTGAATACGTGACCTAGACCTATATCACAAGGCCAGTTTTATTCACGTGATGAATTTAGAAAGATAAAGACAATCGTCTAGTGAAACCTAAAAGAAATTGATGTGATGTAACGTCATCCTGGAAACAGTCCATATAAAATATAGTTGAGAAAAAATGTACATTGACATAAAATTTAGCGAGTTTTCTGTCAGCTTTGTTACATAGTTTCGAAGGACTTTGCTTCAAGAACCCCCGTCCAGTGTGCTTTGAATAGGAAGGATAATTATTCCATTTTATTTTCATATAAAACTACAATATATATATATATATATATATATATATATATATATATATATATATATATATATATATATATAGGATTACTGTTTTTGATGAGGTTTTGTTCTATGGGCTGAATGGTTTGGTCGGTGGAGCTTTCATCTTCCTTCTGAACGACATCATTAACACAAGCTTCTAAGTTTGTGCTGACCAACGCATCCAGCTCAGAGAACATAACTTCGTCAATATCATCCACCTGAGCTACAAATCTTCACCATCTCAGGATTACTGTTTATAAGTTTGATACAGAAAAATAAACAGTTTGTTTTATTTTGATATTATGTCATCCTACAAACCTGGAAATCTTAAAAAAGTTCGTTTACATAATTTTTCTTCTTTACTGCTAAATAGAAGTAGCTCGAACTCGTTTACGTGAAGAAACTGGACAATATCGAGGATTTTTTCGTACACTTCATTTAGTTGGCAAAGAAGAAGGTTTAAGTGGCCTTTATCGTGGTATGGCAACTCATTATATTCGTCAAGTACCTAATTCTTGTATTATGATTGGAACTTATGAATTCGTTGTCTTTCTACTACAATCTTGGGATTTAACTAAAGACATCAAGGTATAGTAGTGTATTGCCTTTATTCTTCTACTAATTAAAATCTTATTTTCTTTCCCATTTCTCTATTTGTACAGAAAAAATAATTATTAGAGTGAAAAATAAATGTGTATAATTTCATTTAATTTATTCTTGCTCCTCATATAATCGTGTTACTTCCCATTAGAAACAAAATAGCATAACTAATAGCCTCGAAAAGAATATAAGCGATAAACAGAGTTATTCAAGATTTTTGTTCCGTTCAAGTTTACTTCTTATTTAGTTTATTATTATTATTGTTATTATTATTTGGGTGTCAATTTGTTGTGTCAAATTGTGAAGATTGATTTTCGATGGGCGAGTATTTCATCTTTTATGTACTTGTTTGTTTGTTTGTTTTACCCCCTCCCCCTTTCATCGTTTTTTTTATCACTTGCTTCCACTGCTAAATGATATATATATAGTACTTTGTTAAAATGTACACAATATGCATTAATATACTGGCGAAAATGTAAACATACTTAGGCGTGTAGATGTTGTGTTTTAAATTTTTATCTCTATTATCACCATTTCCTTCGACCTTTTTGTCTCTTTCACCTTCAATATTATCATCATTTATCTCTTAGTTATGTTATTATTATTAATCATCTATTTTTTTCAGTTTATGGTATTGTATACTACTGATTATTATTACTGTTATTAGTTTCTTTTCTTCTTTTTTTTCCCCTAATTATCGTATACATGCATTTCCATTGTGTTTTGTAATAAAATTTGATCAGGAAAATAATCATTATAGACGACAATCATTGTTTCCTTGTTTTGGTATTGAATGTAGTGTTATAAAACTGAAAAAGAAGCAGATCTGTGGCCTAATGCAAAGTACAAGCTAAGTGTTGACAGGCAATAGATTTATTACACACCGAAAAATAGATCAAAAGCTTTGCCTAAATATACTTATAGAACATGTGAAATGTGTTCTATGTACACTGATCACAGATCTTAATAAATTAAACTGGGTAGTAGTAGACATTGCGTAATCACTAACTTACTGCATAAATACAACTTGCGATTTTATTATCTTAGACTAAACTGTCATAACGAACAAATGTTGATAATGTACTGAGTTATTTGATTACTCCTTCCTAGTAGAACTTTTAATTGTTTACTACTCTGACTAATTCTAATTGTATTGTTGTGCTCTACGTGAAATAAGCGCCAATCATGTCCAGAACAGCAATGACAGTTTCCCAGTTAAGCCTCCAAGCTCTTAGAACACATACGAATCTCCAGCAGTTCAAGTTATGATATTTACCCTATTTTGATCAATAACATATTTCCATTGTGCAGACTAATTGTTCAGACTAATAAAAGAAACCGGAATTAAGAAGTCAAGTGTAAGTGTGATCTCGGAAAAAGAAGACACTCTTATTGCTCTCAGCCCAGATGTTTAGAATGGTTGGCGGAACACTTGAAGGAGCAGTTTAGCTGGCCTTCAACTACTCTAAAACTACTACCATTCACAAACAGCCTGAATGAAACATTGAAGTAGGCCCCCCCGACTCCAGCTAAAGTTCAAAAGGCTATAGCTAATCTCAAACGAGGAGGAGCGGCTGGTCCGGATGGATTAGCTGCAGAGGTCTTTAAATATGGTGGTCCAATTTTGGCGATTAGGTTGACTAATATTTTTTTGGGAGTTGGACGTAATCCCATCTGACTGGTCACAATCACTTATTGTCCCAATATATAAGAAGCAGCCAAAATCATCCTTTGATAACCATTAAAAGGTGTACCTTAGAAGTACATAAACCTTGTGAAGGCTCTTTACTCGAACACTACCAGTCGAGTGAGAGCTTATGGCGAACTGTCATATGATTTTACAATCTGAAGTGGTGTCCGATAAGGTTGTCCACTATCCCATTTTTGTTCAACTTTATTATAGACCTATTGCTGGAAATAACACTCTCGTCGACTAAATTTTCAGGAATTGATCTACCAGGAGGTCCACTTATCGATTTAGAATACGCAGATGACATAGACCTGTTTGGTGAAGACGCTGGCAAAATGCAGAGTCTTATGTTGGAACTCAGTAATAATGCAAGGATGTTTGGGATGCGTTTCTCCCCATGTAAATGTAAATTGTTACTCCAGGACTGGCCTGCGTCAACACCCGAACTAAGGATAGGGAGCGAAGTAGTCGAACGCGTCGACAACTTCAATTATCTTGGAAGTCTGATCAGCCCTAATGGGTTGGTGTCTGACGAAATCTCAGCATGGATTCAAAAAGCTCGTTTGGCTTTTGTTAACTTACGTCACCTATGGCGAAGACGAGATATCCGTCTATCAATTAAGGGACGAGCATACTGTGCGGCAGTTCGTTCTGTTCTACTTCACGGCTGCGGAACGTGGCCATTAAGAGTAGAAAATACTCATAAGTTCATAGTATTTGACCACAGATGTCTTAGAAATATTGCTCGCATCTGCTGGGATCACCGGGTAAGTAATAGTGAGGTTAGACGCAAGTTATTAGGGAAGAACAGTAAATCAGTTGGTGAGGTAAATCTTCATCGACTGAGATGGTTGGGCCATGTGTTACGTATGCCTGAACACTGATTACGACGACACGTAATGCTGACTAGTGAAGGGACGGTTGGATGGAAGTTAGTGGCGGCCAAACTAAGACATGGCATCAGTCCACAAAGTCACTAAATTCTGATCTGTGCAATGTTGGTAGATGCAGACTACTTTGCTGGCGTCGGCGCCACTATCGTAACCAATGGTTGGAGACTCTGAATGACATGGTTCAGAATTGATCACAGTGACGTAAGTGTATACACTCTTTGTCTTCCCTTAAATCATGAAATTAGAATTACTCTGTGCCTATCTTTCTACGAACTAAGTCTTTCTCCCTGTATCATAACCTTAGATGTGTTCTTTCGTTTTGATATATTACTACCGGTGAAGTGACTGCTTCTATGAATTTATTGTTGATCTTGTTGTGCTAAGGGGGTGTGGCAACTCGGACCGATGTATAGATGTGCTTTGTCCCACGTTGTAGTTGACTGGCTGGTTGTGCAGGTGGTTCCCCATCATTCAATAAATTGATTATGAATCACTCTATGTAGCTTTTCTGACCTTTGAATTTCATTACATTTTTACAAAGTTCGAGCCTGTTTCATATGCCCAAATAAGGTGTTTCGAGCTTGTTCATTGTTATTCGTGTGTGTATGTGTTTACATCATGCTGTATTTGTAATGGAAATTTAGGAAATGATGTGATGTTATAAAAAATTTGCCTTGAAAATCTCATTTTTATAATTGTTAGAGAATGACACTGTATACCATATATATGAAATGAGTAAGCTAAAGCCATTTGTTAATTGTAAATAGCTTTCTCAATCATCCTGAACATATTCTGGGTCCCTTGAAGTGTAGTTAGTCTAGTATTTTTAATAAAATGAAACTCAGAGCTACAGAAGTGTAGTGTTCGACTGTTAATACATTCAGTTATCATAATGCTAACGTTTCACACTAGAGATTAAGCAGATCCATTTTGACTTTTAACATTGAATATCATAATCGCAATGCTTAAATCAATCTGTTCTGTTGTACATACATAGGTATATTTACCCTCCTTGTGTAGCTCTTCAGATGATATTAAGTGTTAAGGTGCAATAAATTTTATTAATGCAACAGAAATATTTTATTGTTTGCAATTGGCAAGTTATGGCGTATAATGGGTTGTTGTACGTTAATAGCTAGTGAATTATCTGTCTACAATCATGGTATACAGTCAACATGGAACCTTATCATTGTGTTACTAGATACCAGTTTATCTTCAGACAAAAATGTGATCATATTGCATACTAGTTCTCTCTGCTTTACTTTATGCCTATTAAGTGTGACTTTTAGACGACATGTAGATGTAGATGACATTTGTAGGTTACTACTGTTTGATCATACATATCTTAATAGCTATTGCTCGTGTATCTTGAAACGATCGATTGAGCACTAAGGAAAGGTTAGTAAATTTGTGAATCTCTTTAGACTAAGGTGATTGGAAAATGCCTGACGTAATCTTAACTTCGTCCTACCTCAGTGTGTAATGTTGAGTGGAGTAGAAATAATAGAAGCTGGACTCGGTCAAACTAAGATGTCACATCAGTTCAGGAAGTCATCGGCTGTTGTTACATCCAGTCTACCTGGTTGGCATTCCCGCGATCCCCACCATCAGTGGTTGGAGATGTTGGATGAAATGGCTAAAATGTATTCAGTTTTTTTAAATATTTTCTCCTGGATACTGTGTTACATTATTCTTTTATGTATATCTTTTCAACCCTTTTTCTCAAAATATGTCTTCAATATTTATCCTTAGTTCATTTTTCTTATGTTTACTATCATTTAACCCTACCTTTCTTCCATATTCACAACATATATACAAATTATCAGTATTTTTGTTATGAGAAGCTAAATATATATATATCTTTATAACTTCAGTCAGTCACAAAGTAGAACTTCGTACGTACGTATATCAGTTCGAGTTGCTATACCACATTAGTACAGAGATGCAGTTGTCGGGCTTTATTACTTATCACAAGTTTATCTATTACTCGGTTTGATCTGAAATATGAATGAAGATTATTGATACAAACTGGTTCCAAACATCAAAGCTTTCTCTGATTGATTAACAATGAAATACTCTACCATCTTAAATCTTATCAATAAAATTAAATGAATTGTTACCGTATGTTTAACGGATTAGATACAAGAGTTTAAAATCAATGAGATTTATATTATAGTTATTTAATCTAATCATTAATTAGATGATATTTATCATTTTAGCATTCTAACAATTATAATGTAGTTAATACTATAATGAGTAATATAAAGATTATAAAATTTGTAAATGTTCTGTTTATCAAAATGATAATCAAATCTACCGAAATGTAACGAAAATTATATTATTTAAAAACAATGTATCATTCTTAATAATTTTATATTTCAATAGAAAAGGGATTTTGTGGATGCCGACTTAGTGGTCTAGAGGTTAAGCGCTAACGCACGAGACTGTTACTGTCTTGGGTTCGAATCTCACGAGGCAGGTTTGTTGATGTGTACTGTTGAGGAGTCCCATTGTAGGACGAAACGGCCGTCCAGTGCTTTCAGGTTTTCTATGGTGGTCTAGCTTCAATCGACTCATGATTTCAACCATAAAATTCTATATTTCTTTCTTTATCTTTCTTAAAATATTTTCTTGATCTATTAATCATTAAGAAATATTATTATTTTTATAGGTCACATATGAACTCTTATATTAATCCGAAAATAAACTTATGATTTATTTTGGTCATTTTAATTTAGTTTTTAATTTAACTGACTTCATCGGAAGTTTATATAGTTAAAATCATGGGTCAATTGAAGCTAGACCACTATGGTAAACCTGGAAGTACTGGAAGGCTGTTTCGTCCTATTGTGGGACTCCTCAGAAGTACACAACCGTGATCCTGCCTCGCGAGATTCTAACCCAGGACCTATCAGTCTCGCGTGCGAGCACTCAACCAGTAGACCAATGAGCTGGCATCCAAAGGTATTAATTTCTGCCTTCAACCTATCTACAAAATTGAGCAACCATTCACCAATGTCTTCAGTGAGTTGATATCTTCCAACAGACTTGGTTGAACTCCACTGGCTACTGCTCCTCACTAGAACTCCAGGAAATACCTCATGGAGCCAGTGACTAGTGAGCATATGATCATTATCAGAAGGGGGTTTTGTGGAGATTTTAGTAACTTTACATAGTTGAAATCATGAATCAATTGAAGCTAGACCACCATGGAAAACCTGGAAGCACTGGACGGCCGTTTCATCCTATTGTGGGACTCCTATTATATATCGTCTTCTATGTTAACATGTTCAGATATCTAATCTATGCTCATTAAGATAAGTTATCTGATAAAAATCTACAATGTTTTCTATTCTCTTTGAGTTTTATCATTAAAATATATTTGTGTTGTAGTTAAATATTATTGTTTCCTATATTGTTCAACTCTAAAATATTACTTCTCATGATTTGTTCGTTTCAGTTTTTGCGATAGTTGTTAATTGCAAACGGTTAACATTATTTACTTGGTATTGTTTGTTTGAATCTTCCCATTGATTTTAGGACTGCAATTGATCAGTCTCTTATTAGCATATGTGCATACTGTGCGTGGCCATCAGGACTCAATGGCTAAGAGAATAACGCGATGGTGTTTGAAGCGAAAGTTACTGGGTTCGAGTCTCAGAGTGTACATCAACTCTGAGATGCAGGTACATCCAGCTGACGAGTCCCAAATAGGACGAAACGCGCGTCCTGGATTCCATCGCTAGTCACAGTCCATC